CCTTTGAAATGGCTGTATTCACACTAGTAACAGGCTACAGTATGTGCTATATTTGTCCAAATTACTGGTGAATGTTAAGCCCTGGTCAAACGAGAATGATAGTTGATGAGAGTTGAGAGTTGCAACTCTCGCTTGCGTTTGACCGCGAACTCTGATACACTCTTGTGCACTCTCATCAACTCTCATCGACTCTCAACTGGTTCAATTGCATTTTTTTTGCAAAAAAAAAAGAAATCTTTTGAAAACAACGCGCAGAAACAAAAAAATAGCAAAACGAAGTGGAGTAATGACGAAATTAATGCGCGCGGTAATCAACTCTCGTTCTCAACTCTAATCAACTCTCATTCTCGTTTGACCATTGCATCAAGAGTTTGGAAAACTCTCGTGCGAACTCTCGCTTCTCAACTATCATTCTCGTTTGACCAGGGCTTAAATCAATCTCTCCTAACCACTCTTGTGCACTCTCATCAACTCTCATCGACTCTCAACTGGTTCAAATTTTGATTAGAGTTGACGAGAGTTTGGGCGCGTTTGATCGGTCATGAGAGTTGATGAGAGTTGCAAAACTCTCATAAATCAATCTCTCCTAACCACTTCTTACCACTCCATTTCTCCAGAAATTTTTCCAGAAATGTGTCAACCACTTTTTCCACCAACAAATTTCTATCATACTCAATATGATCAACTTCCAAATTATAAGTAAAGTGAGTCTTTAAAACAGCATACAACAAAAATGCTTCTTCCAATCGACGCCTATCAAAGCATTGTCGTCTTATCAACTTCTCACAACTGACGAGCTCTCGACTATACCTAGAAGCAATTCAGATGTCACTTTATATGTAGCCTGCGTGTAGCAAGCGTTTCTGCTTGGTTTACTAAATGTATATATGTGCACTAGGTCCGTGTGGTTTACTAAAAGTATATGAACACTACAGGTGTAGTGATTGAGAATGTTTACTAAATGTGGTTATGGGAAGGGAAGTGAAGGGAAGGGGAAAGGGGGAAGGGAGGGGAGTGAAGGGAAGGGAAGAGGGGGAAGGGAAGGAAACGCTTGCAGACAAACCCCCCGAATTTGAAAATGGGGCGTCTGATTGGCTGTCCAGTCATATCCACGTCACGCCCACTTCCGGCAGAGTGCTATTCATCGGCAAAATATGGCAACTTTGAGAGTGAGTTAGAGAAAGCATTACAATATCTAGCAGACCGCGGATTCTCCCAAGTGCTACGTGAAGAACAAAAATCTTCGTTAAAGCAGCTGTATACAGGAGGCGATTTACTCGCTGTTCTTCCCACTGGATTCGGGAAAAGTCTGATTTTTCAGCTGTTGGCATTAATGAAGCAAGGATGTATCATTGTTGTTGTCTGCCCGCTGAAAAGTATATCCAGCGATCAAATCAAGGAAGCCATATCTATGGGAATTACAGCCACCTCTTTATCCGAATCTCTTGAAGATGTTGCTAGTGGGAAGTTCCAGCTTGTATTTGCATCAGCCAAGGAAGTTTTAGACAAAGAGTTTACCAAAGTTTTGAAGTGCGAGCTCGAGTAAGCTCCTTCACAAGAACTATGCAGCCTTAGTTGTAGATGAATGCCACACGGTCGAAACTTGGACTGGCAAGAGGTAAGGTAATTATTTTTTTTATATATTGCAAAGAAAGCAGGCTTGGAGCAGACTCAATACACAAGTTATAGATTTTGGGCATTTATTACTTTATTATGAATACTAATACTAGCAACTCCCTTGTCCCCAAACGTAGTATTTATTACCTAACTCTAAACCTGGGCTGAGCTCTGTACCTCTAACTAAGCTGATCTATGTTGTTGGTTGTAATAACTTGTAGATCAACGAAAAAGTCGAAAAAAAGTATCGCAGCTTTCCGTGCAAGCTTTGGGAAACTAGCAGTTCTTCGTTCATTGTGTAAACAAGGTAAGTTGTTCCACAGTGTGAATAGTGTCGTGTACTATGTTGCCAGTCTAGAGTGGACATGGACAAATAATCTTTTAAATATGATTGCTATAGGCACTCCAGTTGCTGCACTTACTGGCACTGCAGATGAAAAAACAAGATCCACTGTTAAAGAAACATTGGCATTGAAGAAAGACTTTTTGACTGTTTATGTGAGTCCTAATCGGACAAACCTCACATTCTCAGTACAGAAAGTGAAAAAGGAAGACCAGTTGGGGAAGTTACAATGGCTTATAGATTTGGTAAAGCAGCATGGTAAAAAGACACCAAAAACACCTGTGTTCTGTAACACTATTAATGAAATCATAAAGGTAACCAATTATCTATTTGCAAGCTTGATGTCAGTGCATATGACCAGCAAATTAAGGATCCTGAGAACTGTTTTTTGGGAATTTATCGTTTAAATTCCTGGGAACGGAATAAGGAGCGCATAACCAGTTCGCTGAAGGAAAAAGATGGTGGCCTGAAAAGAATAGTCATTGCGACTACTGCATTGTGTATGGGAGTTAATTTCCCGGATATCTGGTATATTGTACATGGGGAGCAGCAAGATCACTGTTAGATTTCCACCAAGAAGCTGGCCGTGCTGGGGGAGATGGACAATTGTCACATGTGGTATGCCTTTACCATGGACAGCAAATTGGACCATGTGTAGTAGAAGTAAAGAATTTTTTAAGAAGTGAAGGATGTTTTTGTGTGGCTGCATATGAATCATTAGCTAAAAACATAAAACCATTGTCCCCTGCTCATGACTGCTGCTCATTTTGTTTTAAAAGTTGCCAATGTGATGGCGATTTGTGTAATGCAGAGGTCTGGCCATTTGAAAAGCATGCCACGGTTTCCAAAGAATCATCACCAAGAACCAGGGATGTATCTGACATTGATCGTCAAGATCTCTCCGAGGCTTTGCAAGAGGTTGCCATGGACATGAACAAACAGGGATTTTCAATTGACCACACATCAAGTCATGGCTATTCAAAACAATTGATAACTGATGTTGTAAGCAAATGCTCATCCATATTTACCATTGACGATATTCTTTTTAATTTTCCTGTATTTTCAGTTAGAAATGCTGTACACATTTTAGAGATCATACAAGAGATATTAAATGTATTTTATGTTGTATTTCTTTCTTCTTATACTTCCAACAAAGTCTAGCTACTTGAGATTTACATTTTAAAGATCGCCATCTTGAATTCTATCCCTCTAATGTTCCCCCGCGACCCTTTTTATCCTTTCACAAGTTAATTATCATAAAATTACAATATATATAAATAAACATACATTAATATTTTTAGACATACCTGACCTAGAGGCAACACTAGAGTTGTTTAGCCTTATGCCTTGTCTTGACACCGACACTGGGTTTAATTTTGATGAATGCCAATTTTATGACAGTGATAGCAACGATGACAGCAATGACAGTGATAATTAAATTGAATTACCAGAGAATATGTAAATAGAATCAATTAAGAATCAAGCTTGAATCAAACATATTAACAATCATTGAAAGAATGAACCAAAAAATTGCTATTTTGTTGTTGTAATGTTATCTATGGCAATGAAATAATGACATAAAAAAAAAAAATAACACACATTTTATCAATTTTCAAATGTGGCCGGAATATTCCCCAAATCTGGCTGGATTCCAAATCTGGTGCACTCGTACAGTAAGGCCTAAGTTGTAATTAAAGATTAACGTTAACAATATATTTTGAATGCCGAATTATTTTTCATAGACTGTGCCCCACAGTTCCACATGTTCTTTTATCCATTTATGGAGGTCACGATAATCTAGGTTGTGAAAAAGGCTTCTTTTAAACTCTGGAAAAGAAGGGTGTTCTTTTCGGCCATCTGTCTTGATAAAGGCAGACTGACTTACAAGGTCATGCGTGATTTGGACCACAGCCTCTCTGTCCTTTGAAGAAGTCCTGTGGCCTCTGATACTTGTATTACAATCATTGTTAATAGACTGGTAAATACTCTCAACTGCCTCTAAAGTTCTAGCAACCCTTTCTGCTTTGACTTCATCTAAATTTGGTCCCAATGATCGCCACATGGATTTCAGTACTCTATTTTGCTGCTCCTTTTTCAAATCTAGGGGTATGTTTCCTCCTTGCTTACAATTCCCATTAAAAAATCTATTCCACTTTGCACTGTAAGCCTGTTTCTCTGGGAGGAAACATATGCATTTCACCAGATGTAAGAGGACAACATAGGCATACTTATAGTTGCCATTGGTCTTGAACAAGAGAAGGGCAACCTTGTAAATATCAAAGAGCCTGTCCCCATCATCACCTTCTTTGATTGCATCTTCAAACTCCATCAGAATTAATCCAAATGTAAGTTTGGCACTATGGTAATTGTACAAATAATCTTGAGCAACGACTTTTTCTTCCTGGGGGATCTCTTCTTGTGGAACAGTCTCATTATGTATGCCCACTTCATGTCTGTTAACAAAAATAAAAATCAAGGCAAATATATCTGATAGCTACAATATGTCTACAGTATGTACACTGTTGGGAGACAAGATTGTTTGTGAAAATTGATTTGATAAACTAGGTTTCAAATATTTTTTATAAAAAACAGTTAAACTAGTGTGGAAGTGAAATGATGGTTATTAGGTTGGCCCTGAACCACTATTTTACATCATATTCACCGGATTTTTGGATGCTGGTTGCGAAAAGTGTTTTAACAAAAAATATGTAAAATCTTATAAATAAGTTACCTTTTCCGTGTGGTTTTGCTTTTGAAGACTTCTCCACAGCCTATTCTGCAGTAGTAATACCCAAGTGGATCATGCTCATCTACACCATTGTAGGAGGATAGGCCATGAATTATAATTTCATGTCTATATTAAAAATTCATTTGATACTTTGAAACCACAGTAATTACACTTCCAAGGAGTGGTACGGACTATCACCCAAATCTGTTAATACTAACAGTCTAACAGAGGGGTTGAAGTGAATAATTTCTTTATTTGCTCTTTTTACCCAATCCATTCCACATTATACTTGTACATGCTTATATTCGTGCTCTATTTATGTTTTGTTTTTATTTTTGAATACCTCACTCTTCCTGAATGCAATTTATATGAGGCATCACAATCTTCAGCTCTGCAAACCCACCTGCCACTCTCTTCTTGCTGGAGTTGATCTGTTTGTTCAACTAGGCCAGTCATTTCACCAGCATTGAAGACAAATCTCTTAACATGCTCCTCACAAACATCTAGCAGCCATTTTCCTTTTGTGGGTGCAGGAGCATCGGAGTCAGGTAGAGTTACACCATTGGGGGAATCTGTGGTAAAATAAATGCATTGCATTAAATACATGCATTGTATTAAAATCACTGAAATTCCCTGAAGGAGTGGTTAATTTATTGAAGCTAAGTAATAATTGCCCATTTCAATGTAATACCATCTAAGTTTTTCATCCCCATGTGCTCCATGAATGATGCCAGTATATGGGCTTCGGTTTCTCTTGAGTGGAACTCACTGTATTCGTTGTAGTGATTCTCTACTCCTTTGGCTGCATTTGTTTTGCCTGTGCGATTGATGCTTGCCATGCTTGTCCCAATCTCACCAGCAGATGAATGATCCACAAACAATTTGTACTCAAACTAAATAATAATACATTTAAGTGAATTTCAAAACAGTCCAATATTAGGGAGCTATTTTTGCATTTATAGCAAAATCAGGGACCGCAGAGCGAATAGGTGGAGGTCCCCCCAGTAACTCATTGCATCATAAGTCAAGGAGGGGCACTACAAGCACTTTTTGCAACTAATTTGATTAAAGTAATGCAAAAAAGAGAACAAAAGATGGAAATTTAGGAAATGACTAATGTTGGCAAAATTATTGGGGAGGGGGCTATTCCCCCCTCCTCTGCAGTGCCTGGAAATGTGGGCTTGAATCATGGAAAACCTGAATAATTTTTGAAACATTTTAAACTTGAAATTTATTAGGTAGCATAAATGGTAACATAGCATACCTTATATAGTGTATACTTGGCATGCCAGTCGGCAAACTCAGTATCCAGTCTGTGTAATTGCTCAAGCGGATCCAGACCATCTCGGAATGACCATTTCACATTTCTAGATCTCTCTTCGTAGAGCTGGTCTCCATGCATTGGTACACAAATCAATGGCTCTCGACTGTCACCAAGCGTTGGCACATACTTTTTCTGGTTGTGTTGCATAAGCTGAGCCATGTCTCCAGCTATGTTGGGGTTTAAGAATTCCATTCCTAAACAACACTATACAAAGAAGAGACAGAACATAAGAACAGAGAGAGAACATAACTTTAAACAACTTTTGATGCAAAGAATGAATATTGTATTAGAACTCTTTTCATTCTCCCCAGTGCTGTGCAGCAGATACTGTTCACCCAGACCAAATTTTCACCTTTTTACTTATTTTAGTAACATGTCACATGATTTTACCCAATCTCCTCATCTATTAAACAATAGGACTGAGCAGCAGATGTGTCTCAGAATATGAGTTACTCACCACAACAGAACGGTGTGCCATTTCTTGTGTATGCTTATGTTTGATGTGGTGGATTGTACATTTCTTGAGAGAGCCAAAATACTGCATGTACTTGGTGACAATTCTGCTAACAAGCACTGCCCACCGCTTCAACAAGTTGGTCTGAACCTTCACGTCAGGAAGAAGTTCCCGGAACTGCAAATCTTTGACAAGCCTTTGACTTTTGGTATCTTCCATATTGGGGACTTGTACCCTATCCAGAACAGCAAACTGGTGGGTCCAATGGATAGACCGATTCATGTGCTTTTTGGTCTGGACACGCACATAGATTTCATGGTCTATGTTGTCTCCCACAATTCTACAATCATAGAAATACTCAATTAACCCTTTACTATGCCGCTCCAAACCGCCCACTTTAAATATTTTACTACAGTATGTCTAACACCAGACTATTTTACTCGTCAGAGGAAAGCTCTAGGAGGGAAAGGGTTAAGAAAGATCATAGACATTTCACATTTGAGTATAGGTTATATAACGTGACCAAGGGAATATAAGGTATATAACCGTCTTATAGTATAGTTGAGAGGGTTCACTAAAATATTCTATCAATTTCAAACACTTTCATTCGAGATTTCTCAATATTTCTGCACAAGTTTAACTTATTATTTATGCAAGGCAAATAAGTTAGAAATTTTATATATCCTGCTGTACATCAATGTGAACCGACTCAACTATACTATAAGTATTGATAAAAAACACAAAAAATATTACAAATTATGTAGGCAATACCTCAATACCGGGTACATTAATTTGATTTCGTATTACCTGTAAAGTGGCATGTTGCTCTTATCCAGTTTACTCTCAACAGCATCCAAAACTTCATCTGTACAGGTGGATAGCTCTTCTTCACGCTGTACAGTTGCAATTTCCTTAAGAAGATGTGTGTGTCCTCATTGACTGAAAGTCTTGTATTTCGACACTGTTTCTTCGTCCAGTTTTATTTGTGATACAATATCCATATCATCTTCCTCCTTTCTTGTTGCCTGCTTCATTTGCACTTCTTTGAGCAACAACTGAGCTCCTTTTTGCTCTTCTATTTGCGCTTTTCAAACGCAAACTTTTCCTTCAAGCTGCTTGCCCATCTCAACCTGCGAACGAACCATTTGTTTCGGGGACACACAAACACTAAGTTTATTCAATTTCACAAGATCGTCGTGCTTGGTCCCACTATGAAATAGTACAGTGGAAATCCTGTGATGAAGGGCTGACGCTTTCGGATTCCTTAGCTTGCAAATAATGGCAGATGCAAGGGCCACATTATTTGTGTTGGTGCCTGTGCTTTTGACATTGTTCGACTGTAGGCCACTAGCATGAACAACTATGTTGTAAAACATTGGGCAAAACACTCGCAGTTCTTCTACGAATATCTTGCTAGAGAACCCAATAATTTCGTCAGGCTTTGTTGCCAACAACAGACTCTCAGTCTTTACATAATTTGCGGTTTTATTTGCAGCGATTTTGCTGACTGCTTCTACAACTTCTGAATACAACATTGCAACAGCGTGCCATTTCTTCTCGCAAATATGTCGGACCAAACGTTTCGAGTCCTCTTCGCGGGGGATTCTCACGAGTACGTTGCCAGACTCGGTTCGCAAGACAACCTTAACTTGCAGTCCACATTCAGGGAGATCTTCGATATTAAGGTTTTGATCCACGTTGTCTTGTTGATTATCGAATGCAAGGGTTTTCTTAGATCTCGTAGGTTTGTTCTCTTTGTTTACGTTAGGTGACAAAACACGAACCGATTTGTGGCAGGACTCTTTCCTTCTGGTGATGTTAAGAAGCGTTTCCTTGCTGGATCTGGTTTCACTGGAGTTGATACTGCTGTTGTAGGTGTAGACGATTGTAGAGAGTTTTTAATAAAACTGTACAGCGAACCAACATTTCGAATTTTGCGAGCACATGGATTACAAACACGAGACGAGTCACCTTCAGATTTCACCAATATAAATCCAACATTCTTGCAGATCTCGGCTAAAATCTCTCCTTGGCTTCCTTTTCTATTCGACGGTTTGATTAGATTTTCGGTAGATATGTGGCTTGCTTGTTTCGAGTTACCGAATTTGACCTTAAAAGTTGCATTTGCATAACCTGCAGTTGTCATTAGGGTTCATTTCATGATCAACTTATTTCCATGTCGCACATCGAAGTAGAAAACGAAATGTCAACTTTGATCTCGCACGTGGCTTAAACGTATTTACTTCCACCAATGATCTGATTCGATGGATTCATGACAACCGTATAGAGGGAGTTTTTCAATTTCAGGGGGTTTGTCTGCAAGCGTTTCCTTCCTTTTCTTCCTTCCCCTCCCTAACCCCTTTCTTCTTCCCTTCCCCTTCTCCTCTCCCCCTTCTCCCATCCCTCCCTGTTTGCATTTTAGATGACCTGGTGCTCCATCATTCTAGACCTAGTGCACATATATACATTTAGTAAACCAAGCGGGAACGCTTGCTAGGCAGGCTACTTTATATGAGCAAATTTGCTATTAAATGATATTAAACTAAGCTGTTAAGCTAATCTATTAAACTAGTCCTTTGGGGGCAAAGTGGATAGTGCACATGTATTTCACAAAGAGGTTAGTGCACTTGTCTCTTGTAAAAAGAATAAAAATCAACACTCTGGTTAAAGTTGTGGATTTTCTCTGGATTCCTTTCTGTGAAATTACACTCAGTGTTAGGCAAAAGGGCCCGCAGTAACTGGCATATGATGTTGTTGTGACATAGCCCTAATTGGAAGAGCCATTGTGAATTAAAGAAAATTACTTCTATTTAACCCATTGAGTGGCAATGCACTCCAGTGGACCCCTTCTTATTTTTTACCTGTCTAACCACAACATCATTTATTGGGCCGCCTGTGCTCTAACGCCAGACGATTTCAATTGTCAGAGGAGTTTCCCATTTAACAAAAGGTAAGCATTTATTTTTTCCGATTTTTTTACTGCTTCCTTCCAATTTTACCATTTCCCTTTTTTGGTTCCGGTAACATATTTTCAAATTATTCAAATGATGTTGAAGCTAAAACACTACTAATCTAAAGGTATATTTGCATGAACCACTGAGTATTTTCATAAAATACACAACAATAGTAACTCCGAATAAAGTAAGCATTTTGATTCAACGTTTCGACTTTATTTAGTCATCATCATTCCTGATGATGACTAAGTAAAGTCGAAACGTTGGATCAAAATGCTTACTTTATTTGGAGTTACTATTGTTGTCTAAAGGTATAAAATAGATTAGTATTAAATGTGAGCTACATGTCTTTGTCTTTTTGATAATGGGAGTCTTTGCTTTTTACAGAACTGAATCAGCTACAGTCACAAAAAAAGCTTTAAAAATGTTGATGTTCCGTGTTGCCAACTTTGTGGATTAACGCCCAATTAACTCGAAAACGAGAAGGCCACAAGACAAATATCGGAAATCCTCGTCCTTTTTTGCATACATTTTCGTCCTCGTCCACCGTAACTGTAATCTGTTCGATGCACCAACAAATGCTAAACAACAGCAAAGTTGTTCTACTTTCACAAGACAGAGGAAAAAATCATATCTTCCTGGTACAGTAGCTATATATTACTAAGCAATATACGTTTACATCAGTGATGAATTATGTCATTCGATGTTAACTGATTGTCATACTGATATGATCAATGGAACTTCAAACAAACCACATAGTCTTATTCGAACTTTGAACTGGTGCTATCTCCAGCTAATTCAGACTGATAAATTATCGATAATCAACATTGCAAACCACCTGTACCTTCCTGCTGGATCTCATACTGATGAAATCATACTGTCATCTCCGCGGTTAACAAAAATGAGATAGATAATTTGTTGAAACATTTGAATTCTATTGAGCCATCAATTCAATTCACTGTAGAGCGCGAGAGTGAGGGAAAGTTGGCTTTTTTGGATACTTATGTTCATAGAAATATCGAAGGGCAGTTAGAAACTGACGTTTACCGTAAACCTACACATACGGACAAATATCTATCCTTCTACTCACACCATCCAAAAAGTCATAAAAAGTCTGTTGCAAAAACTTTGTTTCAAAGAGCTGAATCGTTACCATCCAATCGCGTTGCTAGGGACAACGAGCGTGATTATGTCCTCAGTGTACTGAGAGAGAACAACTATCCTTAAAACTTTTTAAATGATTGTCTAAAATCCCCTGTCTCGACTAGATGCAATTCCTCAGAGGGTGATTCCTCAAAAACAGGTTTTGCTATAGTTCCATACATTCAGGGAATTGCAGAACCTATCAGGAGGATCCTGAATAATTGTGGTATAAAAGTTGCCTTAAAACCCTTTCAGACATTGGGACATATTTTCGCGAAACCCAAGGATCGCGTAGCGACTAAACAGAAAACTCATGCTGTATACTCTATACCATGTGGTGATTGCGATGCGAGAAAGAATATCTAGGTCAAACAAAACGCCAGTTCGGCACACGTTTAAAAGAACATCAAAAGGCTGTATCGAACTTAAACAGTTCAAAATCAGCCTTGGCGGAACATGTGTGTCAAACTAACCATAACATTGGGTGGAACGATTCAAAAGTCATTACCACTAATGATCGTTATGGACAAAGGCGTTGTTTGGAAGCCTGGCATATTAATGCGAGTCTTTGTGCCCTTAATAGGGATGACGGAAGCTATTTGCCAAAAGAGTATTTACATCTGATTAATAGATGACGTCATTTTGAGAGTATATAAGGAACCGAGTTTCAACATCAGATCACCCCTGATGAAGACACTAGACCGAAGTGTCGAAACGTTGGGTCGTGAAAGTTAATCTTTGTGTGGTGATTACTTTCATTTACTAAAAACAATACCACGATAATTACGATGGATTATATACCTAGTTGCCGTGAACTCATAAACTTCAATGTTTGTTTTGGCGACGAGGATAAATTATGACTACCCTTGGCAAGATCGAAGAGTTCGACATCCGCAGTGGTAAGATTGATCGTTATTTGGAACGTTTGGAACAATATTTCAAAGCAAATGGCATTTCCCCGGACGATGAAGACTCGCATAAACGTCGCGCCATCTTGATCTCTGTTTTGGGCGCTGAAGCGTACAATATCTTGTTTGATCTTTGCTCTCCTCATTCACCGTCTTCCAAGAGTTTTGACAACCTAAAGACCATCCTAAAGTTGCATTTTGCTCCGAAGAGACTAACAATTGCCGAACGTTTTCTATTTCACAATTGTAAGCAAAATGAATCGGAAAGTGTATCGGAATTTGCGGCGAATCTTAAGAAGCTAGCTTCCACTTGTGATTTTGGAACATTCCTTCCTGCTGCTCTGCATGATCTTTTTTGTGTGGCTTACGCAGCTCAAGCCTGCAAAAGAAGTTGTTGGCCGATGAGCATACTTTTCAACAAGCGCTCAAAGTTGCTTTAAATCATGAGGCTGCTGAGAAAGACGTAGCTGAACTTAACCAAAAAAAACCCACAGATCCTGTACACAAGATTAGTCCACCGAGTGCCACCCGCGTTTCCCCACCTCCACCACCGAATAATAACAGGCAGAAATGTCTAAGCTGTGGTGAAGGAGGCCATCGTAGATTCAGTTGTAAGTACCGAAATCTTACTTGTCATTCATGTGGCAAACATGGTCACATTTCTTGTGCTTGTAAGTCACCAAAGTCTCTACACCAAGTCGAAGAAAGCCCTGAAAATGAGGACACCTATATAAGCTTGGTTCAAATAAGCAGGCCATCATGACATCTGTCAAAGTTCAAGGTCACCCTTTCTTGATGGAAATCGATACAGGCACCAGTATAATTTTTTGCTAACGTATCGCAGCACCCCACATGCCACCACACATGAAACACCTGCCAAGCTTTTCCTCCAAAGAGAAGTCCGCACCAGACTGTCCTTGGTGAAGCCTGACCTCACTTGCACAGTAGCACACGAACAATCAAAGATAAAAAGTTACTTTGATCAACACACTAAGGCCCGACAGTTCGCGCCCTGTGACAATGTCCTTGCCAAGGACTTTACATCCTTCGAAAGGTGGCAGCCAGCCCAAGTGCTACAACAGAAGTCGATCCACTCGTATAGTGTTCAGCTGTCAGGCGGGAGAGTGTGGAACCGTCACGTTGACCATCTAATTAGAGGCACTCCAAATTCTGACAAGGACAGCAATCCAGAGGCAAGTGGTACAGTATCCAGTCCGGATCCAGGGCATCCACAGACTAGGCAAGCACAGCAATCAGAAGGGGTCAGAGCAAATAATCCAGGTTCCAGTGATGACTCTAGCTCAAATGCAGTTTCTCCAGCAAACGAACAGTTAACAAAAATTTCTACTAAATTGCCGGTGACAACTAGATCCGGTCGGGTTATTGAACGGCCAAAAAGACCTATCTGTCTTATATAGCCAGTGACATAAAATAAGTAACGCTTGAACTCGTCAACACCATGATCTTTAAGACTTGCAAGAGAGGTGTTGTAGTGTTATATGTTGTTGTATAGTGAAGTAATGTTATGTAATTGTACTGCTGCTGTACAATGTATTCATATTTGGGAAAATTATCACATCTTATTGTTGACTGCACATGTGTCCTTAATGCTCGGGAATTTAACATATACAAATTTTGGATTTGATTTAATGTTTGTGATACCAGCCAGTGTGTTTAATTCAAAACCGAAATTTCTCAAGAGGGACCCCCAACGCATATTATGGAGTCGAGTTAATTGGACGGCAAAAAGAGAGAGGCTGCTGGTATCTTTCAAAGGAGGTATGGGCATTAACGTGGTTGACTATTTTATTTTTAAATCTTCATTGAGAATTGTGCAAAAAATAAATGGGACATGCAGGTATTGCCATTGTTAAAAACTTCCCAGTGTGTGTCCAAGTATTTTTTCATTACTTCCTTCACATCATTGCGCTATATGTTGTCGTGCTGTACATTGCAATGTAAAAATCCCATTATTACTATGTAACTATGATAGCTTGTTTCATTTCAGATACAAATAGCTTTTCCTTGAGGAATGATTATCAAGTAACAGCTCAAATTTGTTACTAATATGCCAAAGGTGTGTTAACCAACAATTTATTCTGAATACAATTGATTTAAAAATCACAGATTAAAACAGTGGCGGACCCTGTCATATGACACACATCATGAGATAGTGTGGGTGGGGTTGGGCATCCTTACGAGAAAGCTAGGAAGATTTCGGGATGCCCCCAACTGAAAAAAATGTATAAAATTGTATGTGTGACGTGTACAGCACAGAAACACATATTATTCTATTGTTTGTTCATAGTTTACTTTTTAGCTTATGTTTTGAATGAATTAGTCATTAATGTTTAGATTGGTAATTCCAATTGAGCAAAAGTTAGCATTCATACAAACACTTGGTTGGCAGGAAATAAAACAATATTGCCAAAAAATTTAGTATGTGCAGTACTGTAGCGAAGTGACAACAGCATCATGATCAGAGTAATAAACACTTATAACAGAATTGTTCAGTATTCTTAAAGTATTTGGTCTTACATGCACATGATATAGTAAGCTACCAGAAGAAACGAATGTGGGTTCGGTAACAACTTAAGTATAGTTTAGGGATTCCATTACTTATGCTAGCGGTTGAGATTCAGTCTCATTAGGGACTGTTCGTTAATTATGACCAAGGGGGGGCTGGTGATTAGAGTAGGGGGGTAAAAATTTGAAAATGAGTAAAAAGTGGGGGGTACATTTTTATCAAACAAGAAAAAATGGGGGGTACAGTTTTGTACACATGTATCCAAACAACACAAAAACTATAATTTGGCAAAATAAAATAAATATTTATTAAAAATAAAAATAATAAATTAAATAACGACATACGTATTTTTGCAGTCTCAACCCCAGGCCAAAAAGAACGTAGGCTCTGATTTAGAGTTTTCAAACATGGTGGATTCCATGATAGACTATGATAAGCTGGCGGAAGCAATTCTTAAGGCAAAGGCAAGGAACAAAAACAGTGACCAGGAGAGCAAAACTATAAATACAGGTAAACAATTCTAGCGGAACTTTTAGTAGTATTTATAATTGATTTCACGATTGAAGTATTAAGTTTAAAACCATTAGTGTTTTATATACAAACAAGACGCCTGGGCAGGCGTACACTCTGGCTACGGCACAGGGGCGTACCATATACATGCGTCTGTCAAAATAACAAGACCGGGCATGGGTTTGTGATGCCTGAGAGCAACATTGTTCTTTCTTGAGGGCAAAATTTAGCTGTTGCTACCAATATTATTTTAATAGATGAGCTATAAAACGGAGACAACAATGATACATGACATTTGTGGAGTTTTAATGGCTTAGAGTTCCAATGTAAAATTTCCACACATTGTTAAAGCTTGTTCAGTTCGTTTATCTTCCGCAAAATATCAAGTTAATAAAAAGGCACAGCCTGTATACAGTATATTAAAATCGAAGATACTGTATATGATACATACAACCTGCTAAGCTACAATATTCACCAATGATCTAACAACTGATTGTGCCAAAATCCTATGTGTAAAACCCGACGCACTACGAGTGCTAATGCAAGGAAAACAGTCGCAGTATTTGATGGAAAAACCAAAATTTAAATCCTTTATAATCCACGGCCATTTTGATGTGAGGCTGTGAACCGTTCGAGGAAAAAAGCAGTTAACTCCATGAACGTATGTCGCATTTGTGACACCCAAAATGTCCGGCCGCTGGTGTTTTAAGACTCTGGCGTACCTATGGTAGCCGGAGTAATTGGCTTAATTGGGCCGTACATGCCATTTTATATACCCAGCATTGGCAGCAACAGGGTGGTGCAGGTATTAAATGAAATGGGCCAATAGTCATGTGTTACTCTGTCATATATGTATAGTATAATTCTGTGTATATGAATGTTTATGTGGTAACTTACATTAAAATATATGTATATCTCAATATGCTTTAATAGATGCAGAACCTGTAGAGAAAATTTGTTTGGTGGATACAGATTCTGGTAGTACATTATGGAAAGACATTGAATTGGGTTATTTACCTCATGCCACACATGCTGTATGATGACCAGTCCTTGTTTGACGAACAGGGTAGGCATTTCAAGAAGCCCTGGAGTGAGTTTAAACATGTAAAAAATTTACCACTATTGGAGGTGCTGTCTAATCTTCTAGGTAGTATAACTAAATTGGGACAAGATTGCAAGGCAACTGCTGCCCATTTTCAGCGTGTTACATATGGCCTAAATCAAGTTACTTCTGACAGTGCCAGTGCCTTTAAGAGGAAAAAACTCAAAAACTCAAAGAAAAATAAGAAGAGGGTGGATGACAGGTTCAAGAACAATGTTGAAAAATTGTTTAGTGAAATATGTGACCAGGATGTGCATAATATGTATGTTTCAAAGGGAGTTTTTATTCCAGATTATGAAATTATATCCAACAGAGAAGAGTACCTGGACATCACAAAGTCAAAACTTAAACATTTTGTTCACATTTTGCAATATTTTGATCATCATGCAAAATGCACTCTAGTAGACCTTACCTAGTGCCAAATGAACTTGGGAAAGACCTTCTATTTGAGATGGACAAGGAACTAAGTTTTTCAAGCTCGTTGGAAGACGACAATGTCTCTGAAGTCAACAAAGTCTCTGTAGCTGATAATGAAGATAGCACAAGAGAGATGGACCAGGGGTTAAGTTCCAATGAACCTGACAATGAAGACAGCACATATGAGAATGCTACATTGTGAACGACATTTTAAATAAAATATCAGTTTGTCTCATTTGGAAAAAAAACTTTTGTTCGTCTTAAAAGCTTAAAAACGCTATAAAAATTTGCTAATTTGCCCTACAAAGTGTACAAATGTATGGTACATCACTTTCTGCGTGGTCCTTGCATTCACTTTCGTCCATACCAACACATTCCCCATGGTACCATTCATCACACGCATCACAGCATATCATGAAACGTCCATCATCAGGTCCTCTGCATACGCAATAAATATTTTCATCATCACTAGTTTCAGACTCGTCTGAACTGTCAGATCCTAACTCCAAAAGTACAATTTCGTTTTTCTCTTCATCGTCCTTGTGTAGTTCTAGTTCCTGATTTTCACAAAGGGCAGTTAATTCTTTAAACTGTGTCATTGCAACATGTGCCTCTACAAGAGCTACTTTATCCTTTTTCTTTAGCTTCATTATAGTAAGTTTGTATTTTTTATGTACTTGTCTAACTCAGAAACTCTCAATCCTTTTATTTGCCTTGTCTCATACAGCTGTTTCCAGTTGTAGTCCTCACAAGACTTTTCCTCTCTCTCTTTCTTTTTTTGGAGTTGTTCCTTTTCCTGCTTTCTTTGTTTCGCCGCTTTGTTTTAGACCGTATAGCGATTTCTCAGCTTACAAACTAACGTTTCACCCGAATCACTTTGCTTTTCAAAACCTTCAGGTTGTTCTATATATATATTTTGCAATCAATTGGCACATTAAGGTATGCTGTTTTCACATCCATTTGGTGGATAATAATGTCGTTTTGAACAGCACGTAATAACATTTGGATCGAACTCATGCATGCAGTTGGTGCAAATGTTTCTTTCTAATCTATATCTGAAACTTCTGAATACCCTTTCTCTACAAATCAGCTTTATATGTTTCCTCTCCCTCTTGATTTCGTTTTATAGTGTAAATGCACTTTGCCCCCACTACCTGTCTATCCTTTGCAGTACTAAATCAAAAGTGTCATTATCTGTCAACACTTTCATCTCAATTTCCATTGCTTTTTGCCATTTGTTAGCCTCAGGCAACTCAAGTGCTTGTTTATAGCACACTGGAATGTTTGCAACTCTATAGCAATAATCAACAGTGTAATTAACATTCTCACCTAATGTGTCATCTTATTTGCTTTTATCGAAATAATTTGGCTTATTGCAGACCCTTGTTGGATAACTATCTCCCTTAGTAACCACTTAGGTGTTGTTTGTTGCATTCTTGCTGTTTGTTTCAAGATTATTCGTACTTCCCTGAACTGTTCTCTACATTTAGGAGTTTTCCTTACTGGAATTCAAAGGTTTTCTGTCGGGCATCAACTCATCAAGATAGTTGAGGTTATTGCCATTGCCTAAATATAGGATAGCATGTCGAGCTGAATACATGCATATTATTCAAATTTGGTTGCTTACCTGTCAACGACTAAAATGGTGTCTTCTCTAAGTGTTGGTTGAAACATCTGTTTCTTATGTAGGCTGAAGCAATTACGTAGTAAAGTACAGAGGTAAAGTGTCTGGCAACAGCTTGGTGTTATAGTGGTTGTTAAACAACTTACGGTGTTCACCAAACCTTACCCTTAGAGATTTTTTAGTTTCACCGATATATAGTAAACCACATTTGTTGCATGAGAGGCAATAAATGAGGTTGGAGGAGAGGCATGTGAAATGGTGTCTGATGAAAAAATTTGAGTTGGGAGCCGAAATAACAGTGCTGGAATCTGTAAATGAGCATGTTTTAATGGAAACATGGGAATGTGCCATTGGGCTCTGAACAGTTTAGCTGTAGAGAGCTGTGAACCATTGTGTCTCGGATATTTTTGTTGTGCCGAAAAAAGACGAGGGAGTTATCAGTGAAAATGGAAGAAGTCTCGGGATCATTCTGCAGGATATGAAAATTCCTAAGTAAGATATCCCTAACAGCAAAATTGAAGGGATGATGTGTAAGAACTAAGAAAGTACAATTACTGCTAGGGGTGCTAGAGACAAAGTCTGTAAGAGACAAAGTCTGTAAGGGTGTCTAAACGGGAAATGTCAGAAACCTTAGATAAGGCAGTGTCAATAAGTGGGGAGGAATACTTCTCATCCCCAGACATTTTGACTGGAAGTCGTGAGGCAATGAGGCCTCCCTCATTGCGGGCTATTCTTAGCCCACAATCAGGCACCTCTTTGGCAATGTAATGTATTCCAATTTGTTTTGATTTTTTGTTTTCTGTTTGCCCATTTTTATCATGTGTTTTGCCCCCATACAAAACATGTATGCTCCCCTATTTATTTTCATACTAACTCTGCTTACAAAGGCCCTCAGGGACACCGCAGAAATTGGTGTTGGAAGTCAAATATCTCATCAGTTGCTCACATTTGAATCCTAGAATTCAGAAACTGCTGTCAAAGAAAATACTATCAAATAAGTTGAAAACAAGTTCAATTTTTCTTCCAATATCGGTTTTGGAAACTTTTGAAGGCTCTTCGTATGCATCTGCCACCGTAAAATGGACATTTTGAGACATTTACAGACATTTTCAGATGATTTGTTTTTGCCGTGTGCAAGCTTCAAATCTTTTGTGCAAGAGATATTTTGTTGAGTATTTATAAATCTTTTAGCTTGCCGAATTTAAAGTCTAAGTATTGAGAATTACGGCTAAGTCTACCAATTTCCGCGGTGTCGCCCTCAGGTCAAAACGTCAAGAAGTGTTTTGGTCTATTTACGCAGTTGTTATACCATATTTAATGCCAAGTTGTGTTGAATACGCTTGCCAGCGCTACCACCTCCAGTAAGGAAGAGGTATATAGGTTTTATTTCAACAGATTTTAAACTGTTCATGTTTTTTATTAGTGTTCTGCACCAAGACAGAACTATATTATATGCACACCTTTGTTCTGCATTCAAGGATCTAACTGATTTGCGCAGTTGATCATGGGAAATTTCTGATGGTTGATTGTGGTAAGTAATTGTAGCATAATAGTGATTTATTTGTGTAAGGTGAAGATCATCAGGTCGCTGTTCATTAAATGACTCGTTAGGATTTGTATCATTTGGTTGTTCATCTTGGAGATCTGAATTTTCCTTATCATTTTTGCTATCATAGGAATGGATTGTTTTGTCAGGATTATTCCGCATTGCTTCTAGTGCGTCAGTTATAGCATCAGCATCAGGTTTCAAATGAATCTTGTTTTCTTCCACGATAGGTTGAACGTCAGGTTCATAAAATTTGGATGTATACGTTTGATGGGAACTTAGGAGCTTTGTTTCGTTTCTCCAAGGAAAATACAGCATAAGCAAATAATGGAAATATAACTCTGGTTCTTTTCTTTTATTTGGTGTATGATATCTTATAATAGCTTAAACCTTCCTACACTTCATAGTTTCATTTCTGTTTATTAATTTAATTTTGGGTGGAAGAGAATGTTCTGTATCTTTCTTTGAGTGATGTGATTCAAGCAAGTCATCATTTAAAACATCAGTTGAGAATCCTTTGTTTCAACATTCTCTGTCCTATAATGCTCATAACAGAATGCAGCAAATTGTGCTAAACATAATCTATCAACAACAGGAATTCCTTTTTGTCTTAGGCTATAATGCTCAATTATGTTGGATTTGTAAATATCTGTGCTGTCATCATCAAGTTCATCAAGCTCACTTGGAGTTTTATTCATACGGACTCTTTTCTCTGGTAAATCTGTACTGACAAAAACAGTCTTTGGGAATATTTTTCTCAACCACAGTTCAGGCATACATCTATATACACATTCTCGTAAACTAACCTCTCTTGTAGAAAGAAAAGCAGCAGCAATTTTTTTTAACCATCTCTGATTTTCATGTTACATGATTTAGCCTGAGAACATTCAGTTTCATTCTTTGTAAAATATGAGCATACATATGTTATGCATTTGTAATGATTAAAAACTGGTTGTAGGTCAACATTTGCTGCAAATCCCTCAATTCCAGCAACAAAATAATTGTTAATAAAACAACTAGCTACTGGTCGTTTAAGATGATAAATAATATTCACCTTCAGCTATACCAAATGAATCTAATATATCTTTTTTGATAGCAGTTGCAATATAGTTTTCTTTTGACGATGGATTCAAGACTTCATCAATTTGGTTTTTGACTGATGTTATTGACTAATGTTAGGATTTCTTTTCATCTATTAAGTATAGTGCATTTGGCTTCCTCATTCATACTCTCATTGAGAGGTTCAGCTATAATTGTTGGTTTGGTAAAGAACTGACCAAAATTAAAATGACATTGAACGTTTTTGTACTTTCTGCAGGTTTTTAAATGGTTATGTTTTTGATACGTTTTGACTAACTCATGCAACTCTAGTTCATCTTGTTTATTAGGAAGGTTAGCTTGCACATGCTCATCAATAAATGCTACATAGGCATCCTTGCTCTGAGAAGTAAGTTTTGGACAATCAGAAGTCCATACTAATGCATGTAAGTGGGGAGATCCTCTCATTTGAAACTCAATTCGAAGAGCATGATAAGCTATTTTGCCTATTGGGTTACAATGACTAAGAAGGACTTCACTAAAATTTCTTAATTAACTTCATTAATTAATATAACTTTATTCATTGTAACTTCATTGTTGGCATTCAAAGGTAAGTTGGCATTCAAATGTGACTTGGTATTCAAATATGACTTGGTATTCGAATGTGACTTGGTATTCAAATGTGCATTCATGCAAACTTCCTGCAAATAAGCACTAAAAGCTGGAAATTAGAACAAAAATAGGGTGTAAAAAGTTTGGCAAATCAACCCTGTGATAAAAACAGTTTTAATAACTCCTTTTAACCCTGTTATGGCTCGCTACTCTGGTTTATATAAATGATTACAAAGCCCGGTCAAATTGTAATCAGGACCTTACGTTTTGACAGGCCAGTCTACTGTCTTCGTCAGGGGTGATTTAAAGCTGGAATCAAAGCTTCTTAAATACCCAAGGGATGAAGATGATGTCACCTGCTAATAAGATGCTATATTCCTCTGGCAACAAATAGGCACTGTCGTCCCTATTCACAACACTCATAATGATATGCAAAGCGGAAATAAGGCTTAATAACCCAGAATTTGCAAGTATAAGTGTCTTAAAGGGGAGGAGTACATGCACCGAAGAATATAAAAGGGCTTCGCATCACAAAGACCGTCTTCTTGCTCAGTTGCACGGTTGGCGTACAAGCCGGTAGACGCAACCCTTGCCTCGAAGCCTTCGCACGCCCACGAGAATTATGGCAGAAGATAGGCCAGAGATTCAATATCCAAATGCAGATGGCGGTGGACACGAAGATGGCGCCATGCCAGTTCTAGCCGAAATACCGCAGAATGTTCAGCAGGTACAGCCCGTGGACCAACCTGCTATACAGCAACCCCAAAGCGAACTGGAGGTATTTTTCTTTCTTATTTCGTATTCTTACTGCTCATTACGGCGACGTCAAA